CTAATAAAATTGTAACTTAATGCTTTAATTAAATTTTTCCGCTACAATTAATATAGAAAGATGATAAAATTTAGATTTAGTGATCTTACTTTACGAGAAAATTATATGGAAAATTTAAAAATAATTTTCTGTAATAATTTAACATTCTGGTTTAAGACATATTTGATGTATTTATTTAATAAATATTAGCACATTAACGCTATTAAACTTAGAATTATAAACGTGTGTGTGTGTGTGTGTGTGTGTGTGTGTGTGTGTGTGTGCTCTTTCGCTATGTTGGAGAAATTGGCTTTCATGCTTGTACAACAGTATGGGAGACATTAATTATTCACGGTTGAGTACGTTCTCGACTCAACTTTTATGGCATTGAAGACATCAGGTACAACGACGAAGAATGCAAGCTTATATAAACCGTATAAACCTGGAAAACCGCAATTAGTCAACTTTGCCATTAAGAAGTTGAAACCATCTACGGTCATTTGGAAACCACAGTATTTTACCAACCATTTCCATTATAAAATGATGAATTGCTCTTGTGGTATACACAGATTCTGTCATAACGTTGTGGGTTAGCAATATTTAAAGTAGCATTCCGTCTCTTTAGATTTACTATATATCTTGAACGTTGCTGTGTTGTAAAACCCACTTACTAATTTAAATTGACGGTTATTATTTTTCCAGGAGTTCTCTCTTTGACAATGAATAGTGCACGTGCCAAGCCATCTGTAGACTCTAATTAACAACTTTTCTAGCACTGATGCAAGCTCTCATTAACTAAAATAGCATCGATGTTAAGCAGTTATGGACGAAAATTCTATGTTCTACTCTCTTTTTTTACATAGATGTAATGTAATTGTTGTATGTAGTAAAGTGTAATGATTAATGTTTTAATCTTTTTAAAAAGATTCCAAATTAATATTTTGTTATAATTCTTCTTCTTTAAAAGATAATTATCTAAAACTTTGGCAACTTATATAAAATCTCATTTAATAATTGTTCTAACTTTAAAAATTCTCGTATTATGATTAATTAAGCATTTTTAAGATAATAATCTATTTTTTAAAAAGAATAAAGAAAAATTTAATTACGCTTTAAAAAATAAAATAATTACAATAAAATTTTAATTTTATTAAGTAGATTTTTGTATAATTTCTTTATTATTTTTTAAAAATTTAATAAGAAAATTTATGTGGATATTATGTAAATAATTTAGCAAGATGTATAGACTTTTGTTGAAATGCTGGGATGATTGTTTATTACTTTTCTCCTGTTCTGGACAGGAGATAAACTGCTATTGTATATCACTGTAATATTTCCTATGTATTGCTGTTGACATAAAGATAATTAGCTATTTATTAATTATCAATTCTCTACTATATTAATTGCTAGAATGATTATATACAGTGCTATATATCCCTTTGAAAATTTCAATCAAATATAAGTTAATAAATCTATTAAAATTAATAAATCATTTTAATTATATACTTAGAAAATTACATTTTACACAGTTTTTAATGTATTTTTAAAGCTTAAATTACAATTTTTATATTAAAATTCCTTCACTATATATGTATTTAACTGAACAATAACAGGAACTAATCTTAATAATATCCTCTTTTTTACTAAGATGGGCGAAGAAGATAAAATGTAAGATTACTCATAATTATCATTTCTAATATTCTAGAAACGATATATCCTTGTATATATCCTGTAAGATGTTTTATGAATGAGGATTTAATAATATTACTGGAAAGTTAATTCCCTGTAAAGATATAAATCCTTTGGTTAAATTTATATGAATGCGGTAGTACTTTACTTGAATCATTCATGAATCTTATTCTTCNAATCTCATTTAATAATTGTTCTAACTTTAAAAATTCTCGTATTATGATTAATTAAGCATTTTTAAGATAATAATCTATTTTTTAAAAAGAATAAAGAAAAATTTAATTACGCTTTAAAAAATAAAATAATTACAATAAAATTTTAATTTTATTAAGTAGATTTTTGTATAATTTCTTTATTATTTTTTAAAAATTTAATAAGAAAATTTATGTGGATATTATGTAAATAATTTAGCAAGATGTATAGACTTTTGTTGAAATGCTGGGATGATTGTTTATTACTTTTCTCCTGTTCTGGACAGGAGATAAACTGCTATTGTATATCACTGTAATATTTCCTATGTATTGCTGTTGACATAAAGATAATTAGCTATTTATTAATTATCAATTCTCTACTATATTAATTGCTAGAATGATTATATACAGTGCTATATATCCCTTTGAAAATTTCAATCAAATATAAGTTAATAAATCTATTAAAATTAATAAATCATTTTAATTATATACTTAGAAAATTACATTTTACACAGTTTTTAATGTATTTTTAAAGCTTAAATTACAATTTTTATATTAAAATTCCTTCACTATATATGTATTTAACTGAACAATAACAGGAACTAATCTTAATAATATCCTCTTTTTTACTAAGATGGGCGAAGAAGATAAAATGTAAGATTACTCATAATTATCATTTCTAATATTCTAGAAACGATATATCCTTGTATATATCCTGTAAGATGTTTTATGAATGAGGATTTAATAATATTACTGGAAAGTTAATTCCCTGTAAAGATATAAATCCTTTGGTTAAATTTATATGAATGCGGTAGTACTTTACTTGAATCATTCATGAATCTTATTATTCTCAATAAATTTATTTAAAAATTTTTCCAGTTAGAAATGTAAAATTCTGTTTCATAAATTGATAAGAATTTACGAATTTTCTTCTTCTTTTAAATTGTTGTTATTAAAATTACTAAATTCCATAAATTCCTAAATAATAATTAGAATAACAAGATGGAAAACTTTAAAAAAAATTGTTTTTTTACTTAATTTATTAAATTAAATTAAAATTATTTTCTAAACTTAATAAATATTGCTCTATTTATTTTAATATTGTACGATTCATTTTAAAGAAAAATGTATGATTTATTATTAATTTTTTAATCATATTTGTTTATGTTACTCTATTTTAAACCTAAAGGGAATATATCAAATTTTAAATAGTCCTTAAATTACACAGAAAAGAAATATGACCAAAATATCTCAGGTATATTGTCCTAAAGACAAATGATCCTATCTAAGCGTGCATATATCAAAAAGTTTGTTTATGTTTCCTGCTTCGACTCTGTTTTTTGACAATAAAGAATAAAAATAAAGAAAAAAAAGTTAAAGAATGACATTCCTTAGAACGTTCCAAACTATTGTTAGTGAGGACAAAAAGAGGTTGCTGAACAATTTCTCTGTTATACCATACTGGAAGCAAGATTCTGAACATGAATAGAACAAAACTAGATTTTTTTGTACAATATCTATTTCCTATTTTTATCTTGTTTCATAAAATATATATATATATATAACTTTTTTCTTATAAGTTTCCTTTTCTAATCAAGAATCTTTATAGTATTATGTTTAAAATTTTTTATGACAAACACGTTCAGAAGTTTTTCAAAATAACATAATACACTAGATACAATAACCTATATGATCTTCTGCATCATCTGCATCTTACTACACTTCATCATCTTGGCGTGTAAAGTATAAATTTATATATATATATATTAGATTTATAAATACGAATAATAAGTAGTTATTATTACAATAAATAATAATTTTTTAAGTATTGAATTATTCAAATTTAATTAAATTTTTCCGCTACTCAAAAAGGGTATTATAGATTTTAAAGTTTCATAAACGATGTTAAGAAAAAAAAAGAGGGAAGGAAGAAGAAAAAGAAGAAAAAAGAGAAAAAAAAAATTAGTTAATGTAATAAATCCTACCGAAACTTCATTAGGTATAAAAGTGGAGTGTACGACAATGATAAATTTGGCATAAGAAACAATGTCATTTAAATCTGTAGTACTGTTAAGGTCGTCAAAATGATCTCTTTAGTTGAAGGAATTTGCCGGCGATGAAGTGGAACGAACAGTCTAAAGCTAGCTAACATCAAATGCAATCTTTGGGACGTCATTTGATGAAGGGGAAAAAAATACAACATACACCCCTTTTGCAGAATGTCCACTCCGTTGGGAAAACAGATGAGTACTAAACAATAAGAGGGAAGTGACATGCAGCGGAGCAGAAAATTGTTGAAATGATGTGCTCTTAACGATCGTGTGTGTTCAGTCATTACTGCACAACGAAACTTTACAAAACTTAGAAAAACAAAAACAATAATCAACTATAAAAAAACACACAAACACACACACACATACAAAAATAGTAATTTGGTAATGAAGGAATGAATAAGCTTCTAGTTTTGTAAATTTAAAATAAAAAAAGGAATATTTTATTTTATTTTTTTCTATAAATATATATATATATATATTCGTTTGTTCATTAACTAACTAGCTCTATTAATGTGTTGAGTGTGAATTGATATATCGTGTCTTTAAAAGGAAGCTATTTGGTGTTGTGGGGTTGAAGAAATGTACGTAATCTTTAACAATTCGTAATTGGTTACTTTCTTTTTTTGTTGTTGTTAGATTCTTTTCTTTTTAGTTCGTCTCTTTGCTGCATCATTCTACGTGTTTGCTGAATAAACAGGTCTTCTTAGATCGATATGGCAGAGCAAACACATCACAAATGCGAATTATTTGCTGACAATCAGCATACCAGAACGAAACAGTTTGTTATTCGTACACGCTATTCGTATTTGAATTTCTTTGAATTCCTCAATTCCTTTTTCTTTTCTTCTCTAACAAGCAAGCACACGTGCCACTTTACAAATTATAGGTGTTGCAAAATGTATTTCATAAAAGTAATTTTTCAAAAATGCGCTTATGTTGAAAGGTATATAAATTACTGTAACGAAAATATTTTAAGGATACTACTAAATGATTACTTAGCTACGTTCGTGAGAGTTATCGCATGTATCATTAATCAAATAATACAGAAAATGTTTAATATACCTTTAGGAAATGTAAAGATACTTACAGTTTAGATCTAGAGTAACGGCACTTGAGGCAGGAACAGTGATGTTGTTGTTGGACGCCTGACATGTAAACACAGCTAGAAGATCGTGACGTTTGAGTTCTGTTATTTCGATTTGATTTCTCACCAAGTTATCACCTGGTATGAATGAGTACGAATCGTCCACTAAAGCATATTCTCTCCACCAAGTTACAGCAGGACGAGGCTTTCCTGTAAAGACGTACACTTTGATTAAGTGCAACAAAAACATTAACGAAAATCGTCAATTTTATCATTAAAACTTAAAGAAAACATACAAAAATTTAAGTGAATATATTTTATTTTTCCTGAATTTAAAAAAAAAATTAATAAATGTTTCGTGAATTTTTAACATTTAAAGCTTTAAATTTAATAACATATTTTTAATAAAACGAGATAAAGATTGATTTTTCTTTCTTAATATTTCCTTAAAATAATTCGAGAAAGTAATTAAATTTTAATATTTAATTAAACATTAATACATTATTATAATGTATATACATATATTAACCATATAAGCATTCTAGAATGTAAGTATCGTGCTAAAATATATAGTCATATGGAATTGTTCTTATCCACTTCTTATTATGGGGGAGTGATTTCTAGAAGAAATGACCAGGTTAAAACTTAACTATCAATTATTATACTTAGTGATTTTTGTAAAGTTCGTTCAAAGACAGTTTTCGCATTATCCTGGATAAGCATTCGATCCGCAAACATGGCAAGGAGAGCTTGTAGAATCGGTCAGCTACATCTAATGGATAAATGGGTACATCTGACGTACTGTCTTACAGAGACTCGACCACATGGGAATAGCTAGAATACCTACAATTCTCTTACCTACTGGGACAACGAGAATTTCTGGACATTCTGATTGAAACCAATGAACGTGACTTGCGTCGAAAACAAACATCATCGATTAAACTGGTACGTCTACATCATTATGAGCAAATGATTCTCTCAGATAATCAAGCATGTATGATAGAAATAAAGGTAATTGTACAAAATTTTTTCTCTACAACGCTAACTGATTCATATAATCATGACAAAATCCATAATCTAGCTCAGATTTTATTATATATTACATTAATTGTTAATATTGCTATTGGGATCGATATTAAAACTAACATCATCATAGCTTCTCCTTAGAAAATATATACAATTAGCAATTTTTAATAATTAAAACGATTTTTACTACTTAATATAGTAAATTGTAATTGTTATTTGATCGATATAATCAAGAAAAATCAAAAATCTTACTCAGAATTCATATATTATATTAATTTAATACCCTTTCTTAAACTGAAGTAAAGACTTAATGCTTAAGTATAACTTCCACTATATACAATATAAATAGAAGAATACTATAGTTATATATGTAGAAAAATAACTGACTATCTTAAATAATTATGAAAAATTAATAATTTAACTCATATATTACGAATTCATTTTAGAATTAATATCAACATTTAAGCTCGAGTTCAACCCCTTAATACAATACATATATATATACTGTATATGTGTATAACCGACTGTATACATTAATTATAAAAGTATTTACAACGTTATATAATGGAAAAACAACCGAAAATTGATCATAAAATCATAAAAATTCAGTAATTTGGACTTCATAATTTTTTTTTTAATTTAATAATTTGGGGTTTTAATCTTGTAGTTTCTTAGACTGATATAAGCCTTATATCTTAACAACAGTATAAAATATGCATAACCAACAATTCTCATTAAAAGGAAGAATATTTACAGCTATATATAGTAGAAAGCAATTAGATCTATCAACCTTAACGAGCTGTTAAAAGTGTGATAAGGTTCTAATTCTCACTATCGGGTTTCACCAACTCGTTTGTAATGAAAGAACACTCTTTTTACAGTCAACAATTGATTCATGAGCTTTATCAGATTTATATCAACTGTAAGAATTTAAGTTAATGCAGTTAGAAAGTACAATTTTTTTTTAAATCAATTTTTTGGATAAATATTATCCAATAATCGATATAAAAATGAACCGATTCTCGATTATATGTACACATTTTAGTAGGAAAAAATAAAAATTGATAAAAAGTTTTCGTTAGAAAAACTAAGTAATTAATTAGATTAAAGTGCATTAATCATAAAAAAATTATAAATTAACTCATAAAATAATGTCAATTATTTTATTTTAATTTATTATTATTTTTTCAACGTTTAACTAAAAGATCTGTCAGATATATTTAATTATCTAACGTGATAATCAGTCGATTCCTTAGAGATTTTTCCTTAATTTTTAAAAAGTTTCTTCTCTAAATTTTTTTTTTTTATTTTTATTTTTAAATTTAATTAATAAATTATAAAATTATTTTAAAAATTTAATGTGATTTTATCTCGTTTAATTCAAATTATTACATATATATTTTTAACGTAAAAAATAATTATGTAAATAAATAATTTTACTCGAAAACTTCAGTTAATTTTCTGTTCTAAATATTTATATTATTCCGTTTAAATAATCTAAAATACCCTACATTATGTCGCATCGTTTGTTTTTAAACGAGTGCAGATCATTCCAATATGACGGAGGAGCACGATGTTGTTTCGACTTAAGCCATTTTAAGATGTATAATTAGAATATAAGAGAAATTATTCTTTTAAATGTACTTAACGAAATGATTAACAGAAATTTAACTAATTCTGCAGCAAAATTTGCTTTAAGCAATACTGTAGACATTTTTTCAATAATTTATGTATATTTTTTTCTAAAATTATATCTAAAATTATACTTTAAAGTAAAAAAAAATAAATTTTCTAAAGTAAAAAAATAAATTTTCTAAGTTTAAAAAAAACATTAAAAAATAATTTTTTAAGTTAAAAAAAGCATTCCATTTTTTAAGATATTTACCAGCAAATAAAAAAATATTGATAAATAAAGTGCAGAAAAATAAATAAATATATATATATAT